TTTCCCTCACACAACACAGCAGCAACATCTCACTCTGAGCCATCTCTCTCTCTCTCTAAAACGCTCTGTCGATCTCTTCTCTCTCTCATCGATCGCCTCTACGCCAATTGACTTGCTCAAAAAGTGAACGACGATGGTGAACAAGGAGCTCTGAGTTCCCGATGCCGTAAGATCAACTATCTATCGATCGCCTCCATCCCGTCTCTCTCTCGGAGGACCACCGGATCACCATCATCACAGGTAGCAAAACTTCTGTAATAACCCTCACCATTGTTTACTGCATAACCACTGATTATCGTTAAACTGAACTGATTATGACTGATAAGCGAACTAATTGAAATACTGAACTGACTGACTGACTGACTGAACCGAATTGACTGAGTATATCTGTTTACTTGTGCATTTATCTGTTTGATTGTTTGATTATCTGTTCACCTTTTTATGCTTTTAACTGTTAATTGAAGGCCCTATCGGCGGCCGAATCCGGGAATTGATTGAGGTTTCTCGACCCTCATAATTAATGTGATTTTATGGTGTATTTACCTAAAATTTGATTTAGTATGATTAAAGTAGATTAAATATTGGGTTAATTGCAAAGTTTGACTTAATTACAATTAGACCACTTAGTGGCCATTATCTATGCACTTTTGAGCCTTATATATTGAATTAAAACACTTTTGCTCAGCTCATTTTGAGCATACCACCGACTTGAGAGAGGGAGTGAGAGTGTCTTCATCTCTTTTGCTTGATCTTGCTTAGATTGAGAGGATTGAAGTATAGATTTCATATTTGAGCTCCTAAACCTTGAATACAAGACTAAGGTAGGAAACTCATCTTCTTATTGTTGTCATTGAGCTAGTTCTTGCATGATTCATGCTTCATGGTAGAACTAAGTCATGTTTTGGTTCATTGTTGTTGAAATGAAGCTCATTCCTTGCATGCATGTTAGTATTGTTGGATTTTGAGTTGAGTTCTTGGCAAATCGTCACATGCATGTCCATGTTTTGAGTGTAGGCCATGTTTTCATCATGTTTGTGAATCAATTGGCTCATTAGAGCATGTTTTGAAGCTTGAAAGTTATTTGAAGATCATGCATGTCATGTTTGAGGATTGTTCTTGAAAAATTGGTTTGAAATTGGGTTTGATTAAACACCCATGGGCTTTGATTTCTCAAATTGAGTTTTGAATCATGTTTAACTATGAGTTTATAAGAGTTTTCCAGAAAATGGGCCCAAGAGGATCGGTTTTGATGCATTTGAGCTTGAGTTTGAGCGTGGAGGTGCAATCTGGAATTTCCAGATTTTGCACTCCCGCTCGAGCGGGAGAAGGTGACGCTCGAGCGTGGAATCCGAGCATCCAGTATCTCTGCACTGTTTTACAATTTTCTCGAGTGGAGGACTGGGTGTTCGAGCGGAGTCTTGTGTCTCAAGCTCGAGTGGGCGTCGAGCGTCCGTCAAGCGGAGATTTCACCCATCTAGTACTTTTGCAGTACGCTCGAGCGGGGGATTTACCGCTCGAGCGAGTACTTTTGTCTGCATATCCGCTCGAGCGGAGTGACCTACGTTCGAGCGTGACCCCTGTTTTCTGAACAATCTGAAAATGCTTTTAAAAGTACATCTTTGCATCCTCATCCCATTCTAGGCGTTCTTAGGCCTAGTTTAAGACATCTTATTGAGGATATAGATGTAGAACACAACAAGGCAAATTAGGGATTAAGTTATTATTTTTCCCAGCTGTGTAGCTTAGTGTGTTCAATCTGTTAACTGTGTAGGGTTGGCGACTGGGGATGCACGCTTTAGCATACTGTAGCCCAAACTCTGTGAGTAACAACTGTGTAAAGATATGCTCGAAATGATTATCTTCTGAACAACTGAACTGTACTGCTTTCTGAACTGATACTGTTAATTGAATGAATGTATGTCCTATGTTCTGAACTGTATTGTGGCATCCTTAGCACCTACTGTTACTGTTACTGTTATAAAGATCTCTGTCGGTTCCCTTGTTGGAACCACTACTGTTTACTGACTGATGGCCATCATTTATTGCTCGGTCTTTTAAGACCTACTGTTTACTGTACTGTTATGCTAATGGGTGTACCACATATGACTGTACTGACTGAACAACTGAAATACTGATTTAATGAACTGTTTTCATACTGTAAGGACATTCATTCTTAACCTCTTTATGCATTATGTTATTCACTGGGTTTTAGCTCACTGCTCATATATATATGTAGGTGTACAGGCACCAGACCGCGGCTAGGAGCGTCAGGGTTACTCCAGTTTTGTCAAGCCAACTACCGTGCCTCACTGCGAGGTTCCAAGCCTATCATGCTAAGGCTTAGGGGTGTTTTAGGACTCCCCCTTCTGTACTGTCTTGCTGTTTTGTAATAACCAAATGGATTGTATAGACTGAATGTTTACTGTACCGTTACATAGGGATTGGGTCCCTAATCTGAATGATTGTATATATTGTGTATACCTTTCCACTGAATGTAAATATGTTTGGAAAGTCCTTTTGCATACAGACTGTCACAGCTCATTGGGCATTGTTTAATTACTGTATTGGCTTCCGCCAGGCCCTGTACTCTGTTTTACTGTATTCCTGTTAAGCAGGCCTTCGGTAATCTCGGATTACTGGCCGGTTACGGTGCTAAACCCATAGGGCCGGGTTTGGGTCGTGACAACTTCCCATCTGGTCAAATCTATTTCTCTATGAGTCAAATATGTTATTTCAAATCTGGGTTCGAACCAGGTCCATCTAGTCTCACCCATCTACCATTTTACCATTTTTTTTTTTTTTTTAAAACATTTGAGCTCATCAGTTCTGTTAATGGTGATGACGATGAACATTTTTTTTTTTTTACATTTGAGCTCAGATCTATGGACTGAACTGTAAGGTTGGATTTATGAAACTCATACCGATTTTATTTTAATAATTTATTTTATGGACTAAACCGTATGGTTGGACAGATATGATTGATGATGATGGACATATGATTTGGTGGTGATGTTGTTGTAGATCTAAAGTTGATTTTTATTTTTGGTCGGGGAATTTCCGGGGTCGGGGAAACCAGATCCCCATTAGGGGACGGGGATGGTGGCGGTGATAGCTTCCCCGTCGGGAATCGAGGCTGGGAACGGAGCCATTTCCATCATCGGGGATGGGGGATGGGGAGTGTGATCCCCAGCCCCGTCCCGACCCGTTGCCATTCCTAGGTCATCCCTCATCTAAAGGCTATGCTTGTTTAGCGATTTTAGTTAGATAAGATTGTTATTAAAAGGATAGTCAGTGAACAAATTGTTAGTGAGAGGATTAAGTAAAAGTGTATTTGTTTTGATGATAGTGTGAGAAATAGTTAGTGATAGAATTGTTAAATTATTTTTACATAAAATAAATAAAAAAAATTATTTCTATATTAAAAAAGCTAAAACAAATATTAAAATAAACATGTGTACTTGGTAAAAATATATATATATATATATATAAAATAGACTCAATCCACTCATTATTTCCTTAATCTTACAAAAAATTCAACCAAGCTAATCCTTAAGGGAAATTACTAAACCCCTTACACTATCAATTCTCTTTCCTAAATCATTACCAAATACGTTATGGGTGGGACTTATAGGCATAGCAATCCAATTTAGCCACCCCCGTCAGTAAACAAACATGACCGAAAAGTAAATCAAGAGCGTTTCAAACAATTCAATAGTTTTTTTTTAAATCAAATTTTATTAAAATTTTGAATAAAAAAAATTGATTTGATATGAATTACTCAAATTTTTTTTATCAAAATATTTTTAAAAATCACTCTTTTATCCTAAATTTTTCTTTTCACTAAATTTGATAAAAAAAAATCATCTTAAATACTTTTATCCTTTTAAATTTTTTTTCAAATTTAAATTTGACAAAAAATAAGCTCGCAATGGGAAAAATTAACTCTCTTGATTTGATCAACATTTTATGAAAGAATTGAATATAATTTTTGAATATTTTTTTATCAAATTTAAATATGATAAAATAAAATATAAAGAATTAGGTAAAAAAAAAAAACCGCTAATTACGTGAATGAATACGTATTAATATTTTTTCAAACCATTTAAATTCAAATGGATAACAGATGGGAAAAAACTCAACTAGTGAGAGCACCCCCCAGTTTTATGATTTGTTTCTTAAAAAAAGAAACTAAAAAACTCACTGATAGGACAGTGGAATCAGGGAAGTTATAATTAATAGAGAGAGTATAAATTTAGGTCGAGTTTGGCATACTTGAAAAAAGATAAAAAGTCAAAAAGTCACTATCCTATTTAAGTCACATCATCTTATTTAAGTCACATCACCTCTCTAACACATCACTTCAAACCCAACCCAAACCCAACCCATATTTCATAAAAAGTCAAAAAGTGCACTTATTTAGTCTTCCCAAACCCATATTTCATAAAAAGTCAAAAAGTGCACTTATTTAGTCTTCCCAAACTAGGCCTTAGAGATGGTTTAAGATGTTTTAAATAAGTATATTTTTTAATTTTTTATGAAATATAAATTGAATTTGGAATGATGTGATAAAAAATTGATGTGATTTAAATATGATAGTGATTTTTTAATTTTTTTTTAAATTATGACAAAAAAAAACCTTATATTGTATGATTAAAAAAGTAAAATAATATAGAGACCACTAATTTTGAAACTTTAAAAAGATTACATAACACTTAATAAAAAAAATATATATATATAACACCTAAATCAAAACATCATATCATTCATGATAATATCATTCATGATAAAATCTACTACTACATCATTAATGATACCATTAATTAGTGTTCCCACTCATTCTTAGTTAGATTGTCATTGTGGAGAAATATAAATTGAGACGACAGACCAAAAAGGAGCCATTAAAGGATAGGCAGAGCCACCTGTCAACATCAAAGCAGCTTAAGCTTTGTCAGCTTAAACCCCAAAAAGGCATCGCATCTAATTAACACGAGAGAAACAAGATGGAAGAGGAGGGAGAGAAGAGGAAGACGAAGCATGAGGACGTAAACGACGCCGTATCAGGGACGATGAAGAAGCCTCGAGAGACGGCGGCGGCGGCGACAGAGGAGGAGGAGGTGGAGGAGTTCTTCGCGATTCTCCGGCGGATACACGTGGCGGTCAGTTACTTCGATAAGGGGAGTAACGGAGACCCCCGTCAGATGACGGAGGGTGGGTCGAGATTGATGGAGACGATCGAGATGGAGTGTGCCGGAGCTGTTAACGGCGTTGAGGAGGATAAGGTGGAGGAGGGGAGAGAGAAAAGTTCGGAACAGATTCCGGGTTTGGATTTGGATTTGAATGCGGTGCCTGATCCGGAAGATAACCCGGGCTTTTGATCACACACCCGGCGCATCTTAGAAATGCATAACAGTCTGTTGTAGCAAAGCAATAGCTTTCCAGTGTCCACGTGGAAGGTTCAAGTTCCGATTGCTCTGTTTCTGATTTTGTTTTTTTTTTTTTTTAAATGGATTTTCAAAATGTACTGTAATCTCTTCTGGTTATGTTTGGATTCCAAGTTATATTATAATAGTTGTTAATAACAGCAATTGCATGATCTCTTAATTCTTGAAATATTATTGTTTGGTAATCTCTCTCTCTCTCTCTCTCTCTCTCTCTCTCTCTCTCTATTTTTTTTTTAAAAAATTGAATTTTTTATTTTTAATGATTTTTTTAATATTTTATGTGAATATTTTATGTTTTAAATTTAGATACACTTAATTCAGATATATTTAAAAAATTATTATATTTGTAATAAATTTTTTTTGAAAAATTCACCCAAAAAAATTGATTAAAATATTTTAAAAATTACTAAAAAATACGAATTAAAAATTTTAAAATTATTTTTAAAAATTTCAGATAAAACAGTGTGATTGGTGTTTATTAAACAATTTAGTCAAAGATTATTTATTTATTTTGTTTACCACTATTTTAAAGTGTCCTTTGGGAAGAGTTTATTTGGGTTCTTTTGGCTCTTTGAGCCACAAAAGACAGAATAGGCTCACAACAGACAAAACATTACATCCAACCCATAATCATTACACTATACTCTTACAAAAAAAGTTAAAAAAGCAAAAAAGTCAAAAAATTTTTTCCAAATCAAACTTTTGAGCCCAGATTCAAATAGTCAAAAAATTAAAAAGTTAAAAAGTCAACCCATTTTCCAAACAAAGGCTTATTAAAGTGGCTGTGTGGGTTTGATTTTTTTAGTCTTTTGATTTTGTTAGTGACATTTTTAACCCTCGTTTGCCATGAGGTTTTTGAGGTTGGGGTATAATTTAGCAATAAGAGGGAGATGTTACGATACGTCTTTTATAATTTTTTTACAAAATTTTATAATTTAAACTAAGAATGTCATAATTTTTTCACCACGAAAGTCATAATTTTTTTCACTAAAAAATATCATAACTAAATTTCAAAGTGTCATAACAAAATCACAAAATGTCATAAAATTATTATTTCTAATTTTAAGATGAGCATCATAAATTTGTTATTTATAACTTTACTATAAAATGTCATAACACACATTATAAACAATCATAGTAATATTCATCATAATTTGGTTTGTGATTGTAGAGTAGTTTTTGAGACAAAAAAGTACGAAAACTTGTTTGGTTTGCCTTTTTTCAGAAATATTTTTTGAAAATTATTTTGGAGGGAGAGTTTTAAAAAAAGTGATTGATTTGATGTGTATGAGAGAGAGAGATTTTGGAAAGAAGCAAACCAAACAAAATTTTGAGAATTTTTTTAAAAAAATTTGTTTGGTTTGATTACTCTTGAAAATTTGTTTGTAGAGAATTTTTTTCAAAATTTTTTCCCAAAAACAAACCAAACAAGCCCCATAATTTTTTTACAATGTGCACCATTTAAAAGGGTGCATATTGTAGATTTCTCCACAATAAAAAGATAAAATAATCTAAAAAATTAATAAGATAAAATGTAATATTTAAATTATAAAAGCTCAATTCAAACGAACATTTTAACCCCTAAGCTAAAATGTTCAAAAAAATTTGAAAGTCAACACACTTTTCAAACAAAGCCTAGTTATACACCGTTTGGGAAGAAGGTTTCTAGGCTTTTTTGGTTATTTTAGTCACAAAAAACAAAATAGGCTATTTTAGCCATAACAAACAAAACATCACATCCAACCCATAATCATTACACTATTCTCTCACAAAAAAGGTAAAAAAGTCCTTCCCAAACTAAACTTTTTAGCCCAGACTAAAATAGTCAAAAAAATCAAAAAATCAAAAAGCCAATCCGCTTCCCAAACGGAGGCATACGTTTGTAATATTGTTAAAAAGGTTACCTCTCCGTGAAAAATAAAAAAAATAAAAAAATGTGAGACTTTCTTAACTTTTCACAAAAATATATATATATATATATAGAGTGTGATATGATAATTTATACTGATTTTTTTACTAAATTGTTTAGACCCCAAACTCGACCTTAATGTTTTAAATTTTATTGACTTGTTAACTTTTGGCTTGTTGCATAATCTTTTCGTTTTCAATTTTTAACTTATATTTACAAAAATTAAAAAAACTATCATAAAACTTGTTTGATAGTTTTTTTGGTTTAAAAATGGTTGTTTCAGTTTATAAATTTGAAGAAAAAATGTAGACTCATTTTTTAGTTTACCTTGATTTTTAAACAGAAATTTAAAAATTTCACTAATAATTTTTTTTTTTCAATTAATTTTTTTTCAAGTAAATTTTTTTTTTCAATTATAATGTGTATGATCCCATTGTCATAAATAATAAAAAATAAATATAAATATTTTCGGCCTGAGCAAATATATTTTTTTAGTTTATATTTTTAAAATGTTTCAAATATTTTGTTCAAACTAAACGCGTTTGTAATTTATATTTTTTTAAAAATAAACAAAACTAGTTTATAAATTTTTGTAAACATAAACAAAAAACGTAAATGTTACCAAACGTTACCTTAGCATAAATTAATTTTTTTTAGCATAAACTTTTTTATTTTTTTATTTTTTATAGTGTTACTAAACACCCTCTAAATCAAACAGATAGGGGAAATAGGCTTGATAAATTTCAATAGATAGATTAAAAATATTAAAATAATTTTAACAGATAGATAAAAATTTGAACAAATAAATTCAAAAAATTGAACAAATAAAAAAAATTGAACAAATAGGTTAAAATAAATTTTTTGATATACAAGTGGTAATGAATTTTTGCCCATCCTTATGTCTTCAGTAGAACCAATTTTGTCCTTAATAATATAACGATGAGAATATGAATTTATCACCAATTTTTTTTCTTAATAATATAAACAAATTGTATAATTTATTAAAGCAATACAATAATAATAACGATAGCATACTAATAAGTTTTCTAGTTGCACGTTAAAAATTACCAAAATTAATAATATCTGATAGTATTACACAACAGTCATGCCACTAACACTATATTTTCCACAACACTTTGGCTTATTTTAGCATCTGGGTTAAAAGTTAAATTTTTTTTTTTTGGGATGACAACATCATTTCTCTATTATTTTTTTTGTACTTTTTTTTCAAAAATTTTTTTTCAAAAAAAAAAAAAAACAAAAAAATTACTACTTCTCAAAATAGGCCTTTGTATAGCTCCACTCTCATTGTGACTTGATCAGAGAAAATATTGTTCTCTAATATTAGTATACAAACATAACTTTTATACAAAACTTTGGTACAAAATGTTATTTAATGCGTTTTATTTCAGTTTTTTGAATTCAATTTTTTTAAAATTGAGTTTTTTTGTTTTTTATTTTTTTTTAATTTTTAGTGAATATTTTTAAAATTTTAAGCATTTCTTTTTTTACTCTTTTAGATGTACCTTATTTAAATGTATCTAAAAAGTAAAATATTTGTGAAAAAATATTTTAAAAAATTAATAAATACACAAAAATATAAAAAATATACTGAATTTTCATATATATATATTTTTATATTTTTGGTATTTAGTGAATTTTTTAAAGATTTTTTTGATAAAAATTATACTTTTTAAGTATATTTTTGTTAGGTGTGTCTAAAAATTTAAAAAGTTGCTTAAAATATTAAAAAAATTTAGTAAAAACAATAAAATATGAAAAATAAGAAAGTGAAATTTTCTGAAAAATGTATTCTAAAAACTAAAAACAAACATGTTGATTATTCTTTGTTACATTTTCATTTTATAACGAAAATACTCGTTAACTTGACTTAAAATATAAAAGATGTCACTGTAAAATGTCATTTTATATTAAATTTTTGTGCCAAAATTATATTTGTACATATTTTTCTCAAACTTTATTTATGTTTCATATCAGAAGAAAAAAAAAAAGTTAATTATATTAACAATAATCACATCCATCTAGTTTAGATGGATCTTACAAAAAAAAGAAAAAAGAAAAAAAAAAAAGAGTTTAGTAGTGTCCAAAAACAAGTCAAAAAAATTGTAACGTTTGGTAGGGTTTTAGAATTATAATTTGATAATAGAGTTGCATTTTGAATTTATGAGTTTTGGAATTATGATTTGAAATGAGAAATATTATTTGGTTATGAATTTTGAAAAGAATTTTCAAAACTTAATTCAAAAACTTATAACTCATAACTAAACGCACAACTCAAAACTCTATTGAAAATTCTATTCAAAATTGATAACCAAACTCTTTTTAAAATTCAATTCAAAAAAATAATTTATCATTTTGGTCTGAAAAATAATTTTTATATTTTAAAAATATTAAAAACAAATTTATTTCTTCCCCAAAATAACAGGTGGTGATTGTCAATTGCAAAAAAAAAAAAAAGGTACTACTCCAGTCAACTGGCGGACATCCGGAAGGATGTTTGAGAGACGACCGGGTAGACTCTAAAAGTAAAAACTTTACAGATAGGACGTTCGGGCAGACGACCGAGTAAACCAAAAATTCAAAAACCGTCTAATTTACCAAACATATTTTCAAAATGTGTTTTGAAATTGATTTAAAATTATGATTTGGAAACTTTAACCAAACACAGCATTCAAATATATGGGTAAAATTAATTTTATAAAACCTTACCAAACATATATTTGTCAAGTTTGTCTAGTAAGCTCTAAAAGTGGATAATTTTTTTTTTTTTTTTTTGGCCGAATTACATTAATAGTCTTTATAGTTTAGAATTCGTATCATTTTGATCCCTGATTTTTCAATTGTGACATATTTTACCCTAAATTTTGAATCTTGTTCCAAATAAGGACAATAAAAGATATCATTGGTTAATTTCAAGGACAAAATCGTTAATTTGATAAAATATAAACTAATTTAATAAAAATAAATGTCAAAAAAAAGTTTTTAAATTTTTAAAAATTATTTC